TTCGAGATCAGCGATCCCGGCGGCGAAGTGCTCGAGACCCCAAGGGCAGGGCCTGTGGAAGCCTCAGACGAGCACGGTGTCCGACTTGATCTGCGTCGTGACCTGCTGCGGCGGCGGCGCCGAGAGCGCGAGCGGGAGGTCCGAGGTGCCCTGAGCTTCTTGGTGGCAGCCGCTTGGCTCTCTGGCCGCTCCATGGCGGACAGGTCGACGTCCACCCCATCAACCGCCAAGGCCGGGCGCGACAGTCTCCGCCTCGGAAGGATTTGCGGTATGATCCCGGCACCGTGAGCTCTCCATAGGAGCCATCCTGCAGGCGCATTTGGATGGCCTCTGCCGTAACCGCCACCACCGTGCCCTCCGCCAGGTCGGACTCGCGAAGCAGAGTGTCCTGCAGACCAGGGCCCGGGAAGGCAGGAACCCGCATGGGCACTGGCTTTGAAGCCGGCGGCTGAGAGCGCACCTTCGGCGTGGGAGCAAGCCTAGCCGGTGCAGCCCCCGAGGATGCGGGCGGAGTGCCCTCTTCGATCAAAACTTCCTCGGGCTCCTCGAAGTCAGCGCCCTTGGCCGTCAGAGGGGCATGGGCTGGATCTGGAACCTCGCCACTCGAGTGCTTCCTGGCCTTGGAGGTGGGCAGCAGTTGTGCAAGAACCGGCCGTAGAAACACAGTAAGAGGAGGTGGTTCTCCATCCCATTTGACATACCCCGCAAACCTGACCTCCGCCGGGGAAAGCTTCCAGTGCTCCGGCGGTGGCTGGAAGACAGCCGGACAGACACTCTCCAGGAACTCCTTGTCGGCAGGATGCAAAGCCATCCCCGAAGAAGAGGAGGAGGTGGCCGCCCCCACTGTGGCACGACTGTGCTGCCCTGCACGGGCTTGCTGACGCTGGCAGCGCTTCAGGAGGCCCATGTCTGCTAAGTAGGAACCCCAAAGCCAGCCTACCTCAGATGAAGTGCTCCAGGGATCTGAGCCCATACGCCAGACAATGCAGCACAAAAGCTTGGAGCAGTGTAGGGCGGTTATGGCATGCAACGACCGAGCTGACAAGGTCCGGGCATTGGCCAAGCACAGGGCCGCGTGTTGTGGGGGACCAGGGGCCGGAGCACGACCTGCAGGGCGCAGCCGAGCACAATTGAGGGAAGCTGGGCAAAGATCATCCTGCAGGGCCTTGTCTGCAATGAAGAGAACCTGAGAGGAGGCATGTCGAACGAAGGTAGGGCAGGGGAATAGGGGAGCAGCCACATGGCAAAGACCAGTGCAGTCATTTTGCCGCGCAACAGAGCAGGCTGCGAACATCCACTGGCAAAGGGGCCTATGCACGACGTGCTGCTGCTGCCGTGTCAGTGAAAAGATATGCAGCAGTGTAACGCATAAGGATTCCGACCGGGATGGCCGCGAGGATGCGGAAGTCTTCCCGAGAGACCTCACTCCAGCCAGGGGGCTGCGGCAAGGCACGCCCTCCCACCATATAAGGGGCTGCCGCAATAGGTGTAGCAGTCGGAGCCAGAGCCGCAGCAGCAGGCCTGTTGACCGGCACGGGTGGCGGAGGGCCGTTGCGCACTCCGGAAGCTGAGCTTGTGCCCGCCATCGTGCGAGGAGAAGCATCTGCATCCGCCGCCTCATCCGAGGAATCTGCCCAGAATCGGGCCGAGATCTCATCAAGCTCGGCGCTGTCAGGATCCGGGAGGCCGTCCGATGCCGAAGCTGAAGCCGCTGGGCGCGGAGCAGCAGAGGGCGAGGAGCCTGAAGAGAGGGACGACGGTCCTGGCTCTGTCTTCGCCTTTGCCTTAGGGCCGCGAGCGGTGGAGGAAGTCGCCGGCCGCTTTCGAGGAGCCATGGGCGAAAGCACCTGGTGCGTGGCAGATTGCCTTTGAGCTCACAATAGCTGCTGTGCAGTGCAGTAGTGAAGGCTAACGGCACACAGAAGACATGGGCATGTGCACTCAGGAGGCAGAGCGGCCAAGGACGTGACCAAGAGGTGGGTGACGCAGCCGGAGCTCTGAAGCCGAGCACCGGCTCGCAGAGTGCAATGAGGCAGAGGGACTGGCAAGGTAGGCTGTGCTCCAGGCGAGGACACCTCCAGCCTGAGCCAGGCAGTGGCATTCACAGGCACAGGATGGCCGCGGCTGAGGTGCCGGCGAGGTGTGGAGGCGGATAGATGGAGTCCACAGTCTACGGTACAGTGTGCATACGGAAGAGCCAGTGCTGCTGAGACAGATAGGCACTCAGGCACATACGCAGCACCTGTTAAGGACCTGCCGAATGAGCACAAAGGGAGGGCACAGCAGACTTTTGCTAGGAATGCCCCAAGGTAATCGACAGCAGCCAGCTAGTCCATGGTCTCCAGTGCCGCCACTGTTCCATACGGCCTGCGCACAAAGGACGGCGGACAAACCATACAGGCAGAGCCGAGTTACAGGAAGGTCGCCTGTCAGGGTAGGCATAGGGGTTGCCAGTAGTAGAAAATGTGGAGGTCGAAAGCCAGCGGGCAGGCACAGTCATGGCGTCCAACCGAGAGTGCAGCTGGATTTGGCTATTGGCCAGCGATGGGAGCCTGATCTTGACATGCATTATGTCGACAGGGGAAAGCACCTGAGTTGCAGGCAGACCTGATCGGCTGTTGCAGAGAGGCTTGCTGGGTCGGCACAGACCAGCGTGTCTGACCGGACCAGGTGTTGCCGGATGCAGACCTGGGGGGAACGGAGGCAAGCTGAGGTCCTGCCTGAGGCAGAGCACAAGTAGGCTGCAGACAACTGCGCGACGGATACATCGACCGGTCCTGGCTAGGAGTCTCCCTTGCCTAAATGCGTCGTACCGAGATAGCAGACAAGAGTGGCCTTGAGCCGCCGGCATCTTATTGGAGCTGCTGGTACTGGTGAAGGGATCCGTGAAGGTATGCAGAGCCATGGCACAAGCAGAGCCCTCTAGCCCAAAGAAGCACCAGCCGAAGCCCAAGCACCGACAGACACCACGGAAAAACACACCAAACCCAGAACAGGGGCACCCTGCTGCTGAGCCTTACTTACATACATACATACATACATACATACATACACACATACATGCATGCATCTGCGTTTCTTCAAGACCTAATGGGACACCCCTACCGATCTGTGATTTTGGGACCTGCGTTTTTACAAAGCCTCAGGGGACACCCCTTGCGATTTATGAGTTTGAGCTAGTTTGAGATGTAGTTTGCGCAAAAGCCTTTAGGGGGACACCCCTTGCGATTTATGATTGCGGAACTTATTTTTAATACAGACCTGTAGGGAGACACCCCTTGCGATCCGTGATTTTGGGATCTGCTTTTCTTCACAAAACCTAATGGGACACCCCTTGCGATCCGTGATTTTGGGATGTGCGTTTCTACAAAACCTAAGGGGGCACCCCTTGCAATTTATGATTTTAGGATCTATTTCGCGAAAAAACCTGTAGGGGGACACTCCCTTGCGATCGGTGATTTGGGGATCTCAAGTTGTTACGAAACCTGAGGGGGACACCCCATCCGATCTGTGATTTTGGGATCTAGTTTGCGCAAAAGCCTTTAGGGGGACACCATTTGTGATTTCGGGATCTATTTAGCGCAAAAAACCTGTAGGGGGACAACCCTTGCGATCTGTGATTTTGGGATCTCAAGTTTTCACGAACACCCCTTGCGATCTGTGATTTTGGGATCTCGAGTTTTCACTTAAGAATCCCGGCGTTTAGGGTCAGGGTTCAGGGTTTAGATCCGCAGCCGAATTTCTTGGGTACATGCTCAAAGTCGAATGGAGATGTGCGCGATAGGACGGACATCAAATTGGGACCGTCATTGGGAATGTTGCAGTGTGCTTTTGTGAGGGTTCTGTTCATTTTCCAATGAGACTCGGGAAGCATGTGCATGCGCATAGCTAACTTGCATGCGGCAGTTTCGCTCCTGATTTGTTGCAATACCTCATGCGGGTGGTTCCAGGACCAACGTGGCAGTTTCGCGTGCGCAAGCTCTGGCCGTTCTGGTGGGTAGTCCGGCTTTAGGCGAAGTTCAAGTGGAGACCGTGGAGGAGTTGTGTTTTTCACCAAGCCTTCCAGCAGGACTCCTAAGTTCAACTTCTTCCCAATTCGCTCAAAAAAAGATGCGTGCATTTGCTCCAGTGTTTTTTGAAAGTGCTTCCGCATTCTTGACAAGCAAGTTTTATGGCTCATCTTACAATGGGGTTCTCAGGAGGACTCTGTTACCAGCCGTTTCTTTCGTCTCTTGACTTCACGTTGGGTTCTTCATTTCTGAGCAGTGCCCCTCTCGTGGCGTTTCCTTTTGCTGGATTGCAGCGTCTTAACATGTGTGGACTAGGGAGCTTGAGGAAGGAACAGGTGACAATGAGAATGGTTACCTGTGTAACAATGAGGATGGCGGGAGTAAGTGCGGTGCTGCCAGCACTGTTACTCCCAATGCTGCCGCTACCGCTGCTCCATGGGCCCTTTGTAAATGCCATCCCGACCCACCGCAACTTGGACCATCGGGGGCCTTAGTCAGTAAGACACTATGTAGAATGTAGACCTATTAAATATGATAATTCTATATAAGGGACCCAGAACCTTACTTGACAAACCTACTTACTAAGTCTCCCGAGCATCCAAGAGCTCCATGGCCTTGGAAAGGCCATCCCAGCCCACGGCCATTAAGGGTCTCCCTATTCTCGGAAACACCTGCTTGGAGTGTAGGAATGCGAGAGTTGTTGCCAGTGACTAGTTATTAGGACTGCGCTGTATGCCAGCAGGATCTTTCAGACCTGATCGCTCAGTTCTGCATCCGCAGCTAGCAGTTCGCAAACACGCCTTTGAAGATCGGGTAGACGTTACCCGCCGAATGAAGCTATTCAAATGGTGTCTCCTTTTCTCTCTCCTCGGCGCAGTCGGTGCCTTCAAGACGAATACTTCGGACGAGGAAACAAATGAGCCTGGGGTGTTCCTGGAAATAGTTTTTAAGTTGTATGGATTATAATCCCAAAACCCTAAACCGTAAACCCTAAACCCTAAATCCTAATAACCATATATCACTCATAAGAATTGAACTTTTAGAGGGCTTCTGAATCCGCCCCAGGAGCCAGATGAGGATGAAGCAGACGAGGAGGTGGCTGGACAGTTTAGGTTCAGGGTTTGGAGTTTAGGGCCTAGGGTTTAGGTCCCTGCTTTCAATCAAGGATGGTCTCCGTCTTTATATGCATAGACAAAGAAGTTCTTGACCAAAAGTGTTACGTCTTCAAAAGCCCTGTATAGCTTCAACACAGCTTTCTGGGAGCTTCCAAGGAGCCATTGGCCCCGGGAGATTACGGTCCGTTGGGCGACCTTGCTTTGGCCGTCCCCCTCATGATCACCAATATCAGCAACTTGACAGGCTTCCCGGCAAACGTCAATTATGTGCCACTGACTCGCTTCCCCCTGATACTAAGCGTCCCCTTTCGTCCGATGCTTGTCGGGAGTTACATGGGGATTGTCCTAAATCACTGTCAGTTCGGGTCCACAAGCTTACGGTCTGGTAGGTAGGAACTTGTGGGATCCCATTGCTGTTTCCTTTTAAGAGGTCCCGACAGATATAAGTTCAGATGGCTGTGCCCACGAGAAGCGTAGCCCTTTCAGTTCTGGCTAGAAGTTTTTTTGTTTTGTTGTCATCAAGCTGATGTAGCCGTTACATTTCTCATCCTGACGTGTCTTATACAGTGGCGTCGATGTAGTGATTATCATTATTCTAGTTGTTAGGATTTCTGGTGTCAGTACTGGTATTGGTTTCAGTGTAATTTGTTGTCGCAGCTTGGCAGGTTTGCTCTCGGGCAAAAATGCCCCACCCGATGAAAATATCACACTCCACTTCGGGAACATCCAAAGTGACCTGGTGGTGCTGTATGACAAGGTGCGCGGGTCAAAATCAAGGTTGTCGTGAGCTGGATCCCCTAGATCCCCAAGATCCCTCGTTGATTGTAGCAACCAGAAAAGAGATTTTCACACATCCCAGCAGGTGCTAGTAATCCTTCATGCAGCCTGACATTGCCATGATCCTGATTGTAGGTCCCCCCGGAAGGAGATCCGTGATGTTGAGACACCCCCAGGTTAGTGGGTTCTTCACGGCGCTCCACGCGGCCATGCCAGGCCAGGATGGCCCGCTATATTGTCCTCGAAACTCTCTGCCACATATCCGGGAGTGCGCAGTCATCGCAAGCTGTCTCCTTCAAGATGCAGTACCGGACAGTTTCGATATGGCCATGTACGCTTCCTACCTCGAGATGTTGGACAGGTTTGTAGAACAGACCTGGCCGATTTTGGAGAGGGAGCTCCTGATTGAGCGACCCGGGGCTCATATGCATCTCCCGGCACAGGTGCCTGAGAAATACATGTGCGACGATTTTGGCACCGTAGAGACTTACGAGGCAAGCTTGCTTCAAGAGGACTTGTCGTCCACCATGGCCATGTCAGCGGCCATGGCGCGCGCCACAGACCTCACACACAGGCTCCTGGATGAGTATGTGGCTCGCGCTGATGATAAGGAGGGCACTTATTTGGAGTAGTCTTTGCTAGCGCGCTCGACAGTGACTTGCGGGTTTTGTTCCTTTTTGCTCAGTTCGGATGTCTTCTGATTTGCGGGGGGAGGACCATAATAGCAAGGCTCTTCTGAGTTTGAGGTTGGTCGTTATGGATGTCTTCGGGTTGGGCGGGTCATAATAACATTCCTTGGATTCTTAATTTAACTTACACGAAACCACAATGATAACCTCATTTTATTTACGCTATTTCAAGACCTTGCGGGAATACTGAATGCCGCAATGTACGCGCTCATAGCCAGATCTGCGGACCGTGTGCACGAAACCCCAATGGGAAACTCATTTTGCCCAGGACCTGCCAACTAATAAACCCCGCACAGCACTTTTCATGACTGCAAACATTCCCGAACACTGGCGGGTTCCGAAGATTTTGGAAATGTGTACCTCGAATAAAAAATCAGTGCGAAAGTAAAAACCTTCATTTTAGCTCGAAAATGCTCGTGCCAGTGCGCGGGTCAAAACCGAGCGCGTTACCTAGTCTTTGTAGGGTGTCTACACAGTTTACGGATCCGTGACAAACCAATGGTAAGGTTGCCAATGCTTCCATGGATTCTATGGTGGAAGAAATGCAGATCGCATGGAAGCCAATCTGCCAGAAGCTTGCTTGCGACCACGAGAACTTCTGGGACATCCATTTCGTTTCACATTTGCAGACCATGGCCCTCACAGAGACGAACGCTGCTAGCACCTTGCGGCGCGAGGTCCGAAAACGTCTGAGGCTGGAGCGCCGAGTCAAGAGCTTCATGGCGCAACACCGCGAGCGCTTCGGCCACATGCTGGCGTACCAATCGCATGGGCGTGCCAGCCGCTTCTTTGACTACGACAGGAAGTCCAAGTCTTCAGTGGAGACCTGGAAGCGCTACGGGCAGAAAGGAAAAGATGCCATGATGGAGTTCGTGATGCCCTACACCACCGCGCTTGCTCGGATCAACGAGACCCGCGCCACCCTGTGCTTTGACCAGGTGGGCATAATCATCCAAAACTCCTGAAACTTTGCAGTCTTCAAAGTGAAGGCCTTGTTTTCAAAGATACAGGTGAGATTGGTGAGTCGCCAGATATTCGTACCTCAAGGTTCATGCATGTTCATGGCAAGTTGGTAACAAGAACGGGGTTACAGGTATGAGGAGCCGTACGGCAACCTCAGTACTCGTAGCCACGCTTCTCGCAACCCATGCATTTTCCCTAAACCCTAAACCCTAAACCCTAAACTTTTTTCCTTTTCGTGCAGGTGGAGTATCGGAAGTTCCAAGAAGAAGAAGACCAAATTGAAAGAACCCGCGCGATGCGAGGCGATCCCCAGGCCTGAGGGCTATGTTTAGGGTTTAGGGTTTAGGGTTTAGGGTTTAGGGGGGCTATGTGTCATTATTAGTCTGACTATTATGCTTATTATTATTATGATTATTTATCATTCGCACTATAGTAGTATGATTATTATGATTATTATTGGGATTATGATTATTATGATTATTATGTTTGCTCTTTTTTGCTTTGCTTCATTTCTAGTTGTTGCGCGCATGTGCGCAAGATGTTTATTGCGGCGATTGTTGCTTTTATTGATCCTGCCGTCATTCTCAACCATATGAAAGTGGCAATACTCAACGTATGGTCCCTAAACCATAGGTTTCACCCGAAACCCTAGACCCTAAACCCTAAACCCTAAACCCTAAACACTGAACCCTAAACCCTAAACCCTAAACCCTAAACGTTTTGTTGCTGCAGTGTGGGTGTCAAAAAAACCCTAAACCCTAAACCCTAATCCCCAAACCCTAAATTGTGACTACCAGGTCGCTCCAGTGGCCAGAGCTTTGCTGACCGCCCGGGAGCTCCTCTGCCTGCATCAGAGGATGTTCTGGTTGGGGGTTTGGGGTTTAGGGTTCAGGGTTTAGGGGGTCCTACAGGGTTTTCGCTGCGAGGCGTTTCTCTTCAGGTGTACGTGGATCATACGTTTGAGACGGACTCAAAGTCTGGGGTTTACACTAGTCCAGCATCTCAAGGAAACCGCAGAGACGTAAGGAGTTTTTTTGGGAAACTCTCTCGCACCCTACATGATGCGAATTTCTTCTTACAAACCACCAAGCCTCTCAACCCTGAACAGACCCCTGCGTTCCACAGGCCAGTCTTGTTCTGCACAGTACGAATGCAGCCCTGATTATTCTTGAACGGTGCTATGACTCCAGGTCGTCCGTCCAGTATCAGCAAGACATGGAGGAGCTCATTGCCGACGCGGAGGACGAGCAGGCTTTCTTTTACAACATCACTGAGAAAGCATCCAAACGTGCAAGCATGGGCAAACAGCGGCAATAGAGAACATCAGGCAGTCCTAAGCCTTCAGTTAGGTGGGGTCATCTGAAACAGCGAGCCAGGTGGCGCGAGGTGGGAAAGGCTTTTTCAAAAAGGTCGGCAAAGCGGTCAAGAAAGCCGCCAAAACGGTTGTCACAAAGACGTTGAGAAGTAGATTTTTGAGTGAGTTCTGGGTAGTATACGGACCAAGCCAAACCCTCGATAAAATCTGCATTTGGGAACCTAGGTCAAGGCCGTAAAGACAGTGGGCAAGTTCTTGCTGACACTGTTCGCTTGCATCGGTGACTTGTTCGAGTTTGTCACCACCGGTTATGCCAAAGACATCGTCCCCGGGAACATCGCCTTTGGGGCTGGGGTTACCGTAGGCGACATGGCCACGGGACTTGTCAACCTCATCAACGGCAAGTCACCGGTGACGTGGATCTCCATTGACATGGGCTTCGCTGTTGGCTTAACCTACAAGGCAGTGTGGGCTGGGTTCGGTGTGGGTGTGGGGGCCAGCTGCAGCGTATCCGCCTGTGCTGCATACGTCAGTGTGGGAGTCCTGGGCACCGTCAACTTGCCCATGTACGCGCCCACCATCTTCTGCCCTTTCGGCCCCATGATTGGTGATCCAGTCACAGGCTTCGAATGCACTCAAGTCATGGGTGGCTCCATATCTGCCTTCTGCTGTAATTTTAATATGCTCACAGGCAAGAACGACTGCCGCTAGCTCCTTTTGAGTTCTTGCTGCCTTGGTCATTGGACCAACAGGCAGCAGCAGTGGCGAGCAGAGTGGCGAGTACAAAAAGTGTGCTGGAGGGGCTGCAAGAGAGAAAGAAGGCTGCGCATGCTTCATGCATCAGGCTACTCCAACTAGCTGCAACTGCAACGCTTCTGGCTAAGTATGGCCTTGCCATCCCCAGTAAGTATGACTTTCAGGGCTTCCCATCTACTGAAAGTTTTTAGAAGCCCTTGCCCTGTCTTGTTGGTCTCAAGATCCGAAGGTAGCCTCACGGCGCAGCTGAGCCCACACCCCAAGAGGGGTTGTGATGCCAGCTCTGGCCCAATTCGCGGTGGTCGTATTTTTGCGGTCGGGTGAGTCCTGTTTTTTTTTGGTCGGGTTGGTCCCGTTTTTTTTGCCCACTGTCGGCCCACGT